AAGCGGGCGGGTCGGGGGTGGCGCAGCCCGCCCCCGCCCATATCAAAACAAAACGTCTTCATCACGGGTTCTGAGAGTGGTAGTAGTAGTAGTAGTAGTAGTAGTAGTAGCAGCAGCAGCAGGAGTGGTAGTAGTAGTCGTCGTAGTGGTGGTGGTAGTGTAGTAGTAGTAGTGGTAGTAGTAGTAGTAGTAGCAGCAGCAGCAGCAGTAGTAGTAGTAGTAGTACAAGAAATACTAGTGCTCGTAGTAGGAGTACTTGCGCACACGGCTCGCAATTATACATTTTCGATCAGTTTTCAATAGGTTTCCGATTGGTTTTCGATAGGTTTTCAATACGTTTCGAGAAGTCTTCAATAGGTATTCAATACGTTTTCAATAGGTTTTCGATGGGTTTTCTAAGCTTTGCTATTGGTTTAACTTATAAGGCTTAGGATTTAGAACCCTAAGGGCTTCGGGGTTAGGGTTTCGGGTCTAGGGCTTATGGCTTAGGGCTTCAGACTCAGGTCTTAGGGCTTAGAGTTTAGGCTTCAATATAGGGCTTCGGGCTTAAGGCTTCACGCTTAGGTTTTGAGCCGCAAAACCAACCCCCTAATGCGTAAGAGGAAGTTAAAATGAGGCTGAAATTTTCCGTGGGTTCGGAAAAATGATGTTTATTAATTTTGGGGGGTTTTCGGGGGAATGGATTATGAAGTCTTGTTACCGGCTGAAGGGACCTCACTGCCATCTCTGTGCCATAAGCAAAGTCGTTGTGACTCACTACCCTTGTTTCAGACATTTTCAGACCCATACGTGAGCTGCGCAACTGCGCTTCTCTTAGCCGATAGCTGATGGAGATCGTGCAGAAAACGCATCCCACTCGTTTAACCACCCCGGGAGTGGCCGCCACTTCAATGAGTAGTGTGCCCGGCAAACAGACCTGGACTCACTGGCGTTGGAAAGCAGGGGCCTGTGACTCAGCCTGTGACGACCGCCGCAAAAAACGCGCCAGCTCCTCCAGTGCCAGCCCATCACGTTACCGCAAACATTCACACGTGCTGCGCCGGGTTCCTGCAGCTTGGCCGTTTTCTTAATGTTTTCCTGCATCGTGAACAAGCTTCGATCTGTACATGTCTAGGCTGTCCACATGCTCGCTGCACAGATGCAATGTGGCACAAGACCTTGGAACAACTGTTGGGCGTTGGCATATACAGCAAAGCCAGTCGCGCCAAGCCATGGATCAAACAATCAGAAATCAGCCGATCAGACTCCCGCTTCTAGTGAACCTCATCGAATCTCATTCGTCAGACACACTTCCAAGCAGATGGAGGCGGTAGATGTCTGCGCCTGTGCTCGACCCGCCTTGCTCGGGAGGCGCTGAGCTACTCTGCGCTCGACCATCGCCCTCGCGCAGCCAACGGACCTGCTGAAGCAAACGACATGCAGTTCCATGCGCTAGGCGTTGCATCAGGTGCCTGATGAAGGTCTGTCAAAATCTTGAAGATACGAGCAGTCATCAGAAAACAGCAATCCACACCAAAAAGGAGACACACAAACACACACACACACACACACAATCAACATCAACCGCATCATCATCGAGAAGGTCGAAAACATCGCCATCATCGTAACCGTCTTGTCATCAGAACCAACATGCAGCATCGGCATCACCGTAGAAGCACTGCTATTGCAGCAACACTCCCACAACAAAGAAGCATCTTCTGACCGTCAACATCGCCATCATTGCAAACAGCAACAGAGTCAACCTCACCACACTAAGGGTGTTTTGCCATGTGAGCTCATGTGTTGTCGTTGTTCCCGTCCTCTTCAGCATCGGCTCCACCATCATCATCGTCGTCGTCTATAGAACTCATCCCACGTTCCTGACAGTGCAGTCGCAAAGCCAACAACAGGACTGACAAAGAGCGACAAGACGACAAAGAAAATCACGAGATCATAGAACATGATCAAGAATGTGATCGCTTTCCTGCGAAAATTTGACGCTTTTACTAAAACACCCAACAGCAACGGCCATCGCTGGCGATCACTGGCAGGGAACCAGGAAGCCCATAAGCCCCTGGCCATTGATTGAGCTTTTATTTTGTTTTTGATCCTTTTATATTTTTTAACCGATCCCTTTTTGTTTATTTGTTGATCCTTCGCTGATCCTTTGTATTTTTTTTGTCGATCCCTATCCCGCTTGGCAAGCCCTCAACCCCAGACCCCAAACAACACCTGCCCATAAGGAAGGGGCGGATTACTAAGCGGCCCTACACTCTAAACTCCAACTAGAACAAGCTACTCAGTTGTTCAGGCGACTTCGTAAGCAGGGAACCCTTTGGTGTAAATTTCTGTGAACACATGACACAAAACTCTATGAAGCCACATAGGACCCAATAACGCGTGAACACCTGTCTGAAAATAGAACCCCCATGAACAACCAAAAAAGGATCCCTAAACCCTACACTACACACCCTAAACACCCCAAAAACCCTAAAACCCGCAAAAACCCAAAACCCCTAGACCCAAAGCCCAAGGATTCCCAAACCCTCAGATGCCTAAAATCCCGTAAGATCCCCAAACTTCCGACATGCACGAGAAAAAAATGCTCCGACACCTCCTCGGCCAGGGCGAGGAAGCGCCGGGAGGACCTGACAAAAAAGGCGGTGTCTCAGCATTTGGGGTCCCGTAGACCCGAAACCTGGAACCCAACTGAGCCCGTTCAAAAACGGTCTGGAACTGAATCGGCGGCAGAGTGTAAACATCTGGAACACTGGCTGGCTCCAAACCACTAGGAAAGGTAGCTCACTTCCGGGGGAGACAGTGGAATAAGGTGCCATACATGTATGCATGCATGCATGCATACAAACATACATACATGCTAAGGTAAGTGTATGTGTGTGCGTACACACACAGACATGAGGGAGCCCCAAAGAAAAACATTGCCACTGACTCCCCTGAAACTCCCTCATAACAACCATGCACAACCCTTTCTAGAACCTTCTAAACCCCTAGCACACCGCAGAAACCCTGAAGCTCTAAGCACCCCACATCTAACACCCTAAACCCCAAAAAACAAATCCTACACCCTCAAACTCTGAAGCCCTGAAACTCCTGCACCTTTACGAAACCTAATAACTTCTTTATGAATAATCTTTGGTAATCTCTAACACCAAACTCACACAAAAAAGCAGGCGCCAATCCCAAACAGAAAGCAACAAAGCTCGAGATCTCCTTTTACCGCGCATTCCTTCGCGAGCCGCCGCATCGCTTTCTTCACCTCCGACGGCTCCAAGCCCAGGGAACCGCCTTCGATGTTCGTAAGGGTTTTGTTGCAGTGTTCCGGTTCTGTCTCGGTGGCTTTTTGGCTTTGGAAGGGTTTTGAGAGGTTGTAGAAGCCCTTTAGGTCTTGACAGGCATGGCCCATGGGACTTTCTGAGTAAGGTCATAAGCAAGACAGCAAAAGCTATGCCTGCTTATAACCTGTTATTGCAAGTAAGGGAATGACTAGCCTTGCCAACGCATGACCTGAAGCCCTGTACAGTCCTTCAAAAAGGAGCCCCAAACCTTGCTTTGTAGATTTTTGCAGGTATTGTATGTTCTTGGATCCGGCTGCATTAGCTTGGAGTGCTCGTGCCGCCGAAGGTTTAGGGATTAGGGTTCAGGCTTTCGGGTTTTGGGGATTAGCCTCGAAGCATACAGGCTGTTCCTCTTAGCGGCAGACAGAAAGTCTCCAACAAGAGTTAGCAGTACACATGCAGTAACACTTACACGCGTCGCATACGCACGTGCATGTGCTAGCGATTTCTTACCTCGTCATATCTGTACCCTATACCTACATGCCTGCGTATGCACACATGAACCTGTAGGGAGACACACGAATAAAAATGCTTACATGTCTTTGTCTCTCTTCTTTTCTGTCTCACTTCCTCTCTCGCTCTTTCTCGCTCTCTCTGTCTCTCTCTCTCTCTCACTCTCTGTCTGGCTCTCTGTCTCTCTCTCTCTCTCTGCATATAATAAATGTACATCAATAAACAAACAAATATACATGTCTATACTATATACACATATGTATGTATATTATTTATCTATTCGTACAGTGTTTCCGAAATGTAAGTCTCGGCTCCTCCGCTTTGCTCCAGCTCGAGCTCGAGCGCCTGGCGCAGCCGTGTCCTTCGCAAGAGCTGCTACTACTACTACTACTACTACTACTACTACTACTACGATGCCGGTGACGCAAGTACAAGTGGTACAAATGAAAGACCGATCGAAGGAATTGTTATGTCTGTTATATGGCAAAAGTGGCCACCTGGAGCCTACACACTTGCACACGCGCACAGACAGACACATCATGCCCAAAGCTTTAAAGCCCTGAGCCCCCCGAAACCTGAATGCCCCAAAAGGACAATCTCCCCAAAGCCAGCTCAAGGGACCTCGAAGCCCAACGGCCCACTACAAAGCCGAAACCGGAAGCTCAACAGCTTATAACCTGAAGCCACCAAAAGCTACACCACGTCCTGAAAAACCAAACCCCACAACTTCTAAGAAGAAGAACCCCAATCTCTTACTGCCACTCCCACCATTAGCGAAACTACCTAGACCCTGAACCCTTCAAAGAACCCACACACAGACTGAGGACTCGTTCAGGAGAAATACACGGTATCCCTTGAACTTTCTTACACTTACCCTTGCATGTTTCCCTGGTGTTCCTTACCGGGCATTTTCCTTTTTGGACTCAAACACAGCACTAAGTAAGACTCGGAACAGTTGGGAACGAAAATCCTGCACAGTCCCTACATTATCACAAATCCGCTTACCCTAAAGCCCTGTCCTAAGGATCGATGAACCCCGAACATGCGGGTTGAAGGAAGCGCAAAGAACCGGCGCGGCCCCGCTCCGCCCAGCTCCGCGCCTGTCGGTGCCCAGCGAAGCCACGATGTCGCAGGCTCGGCGGCTGGGAACCCCGGACCTCATATACTGTATCTTATAGTCTACTATCCTATATAAAGTATAATGGCTAATGGTTTTTTGGCTTAAGGCTGAAAAGTGCTCCCTTAAAAGTTTAGTGTGTTGGGCTTTAGGTGGGTCCGGGGGCCGAGGCTGCCACATCCCCAGATCCAAACCCGCTTCTCGCCGCAAACAAACTCTATAAACAACATATGAGGCAGATAGAGAACCCAAACCCCACACCCCTGCTGCACAGAACCCCGTTTGTAATAGAATCCCGAAGGATTCATTTAAGCCAAACGTCCTTATAGAAGCCTGATAAAGCCTATAAACGCCAAGACCCTAAACCCTGAACCAATCGAAAACTCCCTATGGCCTGACAGCCCAAACCCCAAACCTTTGTGAAACCGTAGAGAACCAGAACAAGTACATAACACCATCGAAAAAGCAAAAACGATGAGACACCCCAGAACCCTCAACCCTACACCCCAACCCTGGAGCCTGACCCCTCCAACCCGTACCCTAAACCCTCAACTACTCCTATGAAACCCGTAACCTCACACCCAAACAGCCCTCCCCTCTGCACCCCCCCCCCCCCACACACGCGCACAGAACTGCACAGAACTACGATCCTCTGTCCTGGAATGATGATAGTATACTATACTGCACCCCAAAACCCAAGGATTTTATTGTTCAAGGCCCCTGCGTCTGCAGGAGGTGTACGAGGGCGCTCCACTCCAGCGCTTGGCCATCGAGGAACTCGGACACAAGCCTTCACCACGACCCCTAAAAATGTTTGGGGTTTAGGGTTTAGGTGTAGAAACTTGGTAAAGCCATATCCTCATAAGACCCGTGCAGAGCACCTCAATAGATTTTTCTGTAGGTACTATCCCTACAAGGGCATCGGTGTCAACAGCACAAAGGCACTTGCGCATAAACTTGCTAAGGTAATGTAATATCCCTATAAGGGGTAGGTTTCACTACTTTATGTTTCTGCGCTTTTGGGGTGCCTACTTTACGTCAGCTTTACAGAGAGTTGTACGAGCGGCTATGCGGCTTTATGGATATTTGAAAGGTTTGGGCTCTTAGGTGACATCTATAAAGTTTTCATGGGTGTACAGGAGTGCTATGGCGTTTAAGGTGCTCTTACGGCTTGCATGCGGGGTTCTGGGTGTTATCAGGTTCTCTGTGGAGTGTAGGTTTGAGCTTCGGGTTTGTAGCTTCAGGCTTTTATGCTGATTAAACTGCCTGTTTGTCTGTCTACATCCACCCATCTGTCTAGCCATCTACCTCTCTGTTTAACACAATTATGTGCTTCTTTACAGCTATTCGTTCAACACTGTTCGTCGAAAATTGAAGCGCGACGACTCCCACAAGGAATGCGTTATATAGGCGCCTTAATCACTAGAATCGAGTTTTGGGGCATGTTCGAACATAAGCTTGTACGCACTATGAAGTGATGTTCTTGATCATAATTCAAACCCTTATATTATAACCTCTATAAAACCTATGCTAAACTCTACATGTCTTGAAGAACCTGACTGAAACCCTGTTCTGAGTGGTCGTTTGGCCCTCACAAAATGCACACCGCTTCCAGTACTGACTGATATTGAAAGCACATCGAGGAGTTCTCCTAACAAGGATCCTACTATTTGGGTTGCGATTTCGGCGTAGAAGGCACCCGACGGGTGCAGGGTGCACACGGCGCACCTGCTCCCCTGGGTGCAGGCTCTGAGCATCGCGCTCTGTGGCCAAAGCTCCCAAAAACCCGAGCTTGGCACAAATTTTAATTGCTTCTGTGAAAAAACCTACATCCTGAAAAATGAACGCAGAGAATCGCAGACCATCTACGGTGCATGCAAACCCCGTAGTCATTCCGTGCCAGCCAACTTCTTGACGTTGTAAAAACTACGAGTATGCTGAAAGGCCCACCGCCACCATGCGTACGAAAACTAGCCGGACGAAACCAGACGAAAGATGAGTGACTTTGTAGGTAAGGGTACAAGTACGCTGCTTGGGGTTGTGAATCATTGTAGCTATAGTTACCTTACTTATAACCCCACCTACTTCCCAGACCAAGCCTTAAATTGTGACTTAACCAAGCCTCCAAGCACGATGAATGCTGGAGCCCCAGTAGCGAAATATGTGATGTCTTCAAACCTCAACAACTTGTGACCCTGCCTGCCAAGGTCGGTGACCCTAAAAAAACTGCACTACCCCGGCCCCAACCCTAAACTTTGCGCCCTAAAACCGGAACCTCGACCCTAAAGCCTGCTTGATTAAGAGCAAACAACACTCCATGAACCTGTAGAGTACGTCTCAAGCCTCAGAGCACTCCCTACGCAGCCCTTTATACAAAAGCTTGAGCCTAAACCCTAAAACCTAAGCTCTTCTAAAGCCCTATTCGCTCTGTCGCCTGGCCTCTCTGCAGCCGGGCGTGAGCGGATGGATCCGAGGGCCTCACTGGAATTGCTTGGGTTTTTAGGATTCGATCGGGGTCTATCAGGTGCTCGTTTCAGGGCGTTAGAAAAAAGGGGGTCTTAAGCGGGGAGGGCTCTTAGCATTCAGGATCCAAGTTTAGGGGTCAGAAATTCAGGCCGACGGCTGTGGCATTTCACAAGCAGCTTCTCGGATCAGTCTGCCAAGTAGCTGCTAGGTTTCGTAGGATCGTAGGAGGCTTTTGGATTTTATAGAAATGCGTGGT